CTTCGCTTACTATAAATCCTGTTCCTACAACCAGCGTGTTGCCGGTGAGTTCTACCATAAATTGTGCTGCAGAATCTACAACGCTCATTGCATCAGGCGCGAATACATACACCTGGGCACCCTCTAGCGGATTAAATGCTGTTACGGGATACTCCGTTATTGCTTCTCCCAGTGTAAATACAATTTATACAGTTACAGGAAGTAACAACTGTACGACAGTAGCCCGAAGCGCAACGGTTATGGTTGTGCCTTTGGTAACGCCTACTTTGTTTCCTAACGGAACCTGGAACGCCTATTGTTTTAACAGCACAACTTACACTAATTATTACGGATACTACACAGAAGACGGAGGAGGGGCAAGCGGATACGATTTTAATACAACTACCAGGTGGGCCGCGAATGTTGCGCCTTCAAACGCAAATGCTACCAATGGCCAAGCATATCTCGGTTGTACCATGCCAACCACTGCTTACACCATGAGTTTTAAACGCACAGGTTTTACTTGTAATACTTATTCAGTTATTGCCATGGGTAATGATGATAATGTTTATTTGTTAATCAATGGAACCCAGGTGGCCACGCGAGCTGCAGGTTCTACCAGTCTCAATTTGTGGGTGGGAGTTCTTTCTGATCTTACTACTGTAGAAATAAGATTGTTGCAGAATACAGCCACAGCCAGCTTAAAACATTGCATTTGTACCCCGCCACAATTACTTCGTCGGTTTCCGTATGGTCGGGAGCCGTTAGTAACGATTGGTTCAATTCTGGTAACTGGTGCGGATCAAACATTCCAAGCGTTGCTGATGATGTGGTTATTTTTAATTCGGGTACTTCGTTTCAGCCGGTGATTGGTGCTGCTGGTGCAAATTGTCTCGATCTGACTATTTTTGGAGCTGCTGCTGCAACAAGCACCAGCGCTGCTGTTCCGGCGGCGAGTCTTATCGTAAGCGGCGCATTTGGATTAAATGTTTATGGTGATTGGGTGAACAGAGGGTTTTTCAGCGCAGGATCGGGAACAGTAAGTATGTTAGGTACCGGACCAAAAACCATGAGTTGCAACACCACGCAAACCATGAACAGACTCGTTATCAACAATAATGGTGAAGTTACACTGTCGCCAACCATTCACAGAATCACTTCGAATATGGATTTTATAAATGGCGTTGTTGTTTCTACGGGAACGCTTCAATTTCTTAACGGATCAACGGCTACAAACGCAAGTAATGCCAGTTATGTAGAAGGTGCAGTAGTTAAATTCGGAAATCAGCCATTCAC